TTATGGTAGTAGGATATTTACTTGCCTTAGGATTTAATATTCTATTGTTTTAATAGTTTCCTAGTAAGATTAGCATTAGATTTATTTTGCAACTATAAGTACCCCATGTACCTCATCATTATTGGATGTCTTGAACTGAGTATTGAATTGGTGAGCCAATTGAGAGGGGAACTTATGTTCTTACGTGTGTTTAAACAAGACCGTTAGTGCGTGTTTACATACAATGTCGGAGAGAAGGCCATTAGAGCGTCTTGAAGTCACAGTGTCTAGGAGAAGGCCGATAGTGCGTCTGTTAGATACACCTATCGTGGATAAACGAAGGCCCTAGTGCGTGTTTATTCACAACCCACGTATAGAGTAACAACACAGTCCGTCATCAGCGCACGATGGCACGCGCGTGCGAAACGGACGAAGCAAGCAAGTCCGCGCGCGACAAGGACTAGCGCCGATGGGCGGCGCGCATGATGCGCGTATGAGGCGGATGAAAATACTTGGGGCGTGAGGTTTGGAATTGTTTAGAGTGCAAGCCAAGCAAGATCAAGATCTAGTCAATTAAGGACTCTAGTATATTTAGTTTCCTTCTTGCACAATAATATCTAGATAGTATAGGATAGTTAATATTTTATTGCTTTAATTAGAGATTTAGTAGTATTAGGATTTATTTACTGCACAGTTTATAGAGATTTAGTTGGAGTACGATTAGTCATAGTTACGATCTATAAATAGGGAGCATCCCTCATTGTTTTGAAGAGTCTGGAATGAGTTGAATAGAAAAGAACGTTTGTTCGAAACCGTGTGTTAGGATTCGTGAGAGTTCGATCATGCAATCGAATTGGTGAGGCTAAGACCCAAGCCAGTTCAACCGAGTTAGTGATGCTAAGACCCGAGCTAGTTCAAAAGAGGGAGCGAGGCTAATTACCGAGTGAACTCAAGTATCGTGAGAGAGTTAGGCTAATAACCGAGTTGATCACACCTATCGTCGAGAGCAAGGTCGTGGCGAAGCCGTGATCGAGACAAGTCGAGGGTAACGGAACACACGATCCGTCATCACGCTGTCTGCGCGCGCTGCTG